AAAAAATATAATAATAATAATAATACAAATAATAATAATAATAATAATAATAATAATAATAATAATAATAATAATAATAAAATTTACAATTTAGGAACTTACGTCACACTTTGCCCGCTCGGCCATTGGGTGATAGCCGCCGTCTTGTTGGACCGCCGGGTAGTTGTTAGGGTTACTGATCAGTCTCACAGTCCGTCTGTGAAACCAATCAATGTAACCCTCCTCAGGCTCTAGGAACTGATCCACCGGCTGATGTGGTAATATCACACGACCAGTGTGACCTCACACGACTCGTGTGACATATGTCACACGACCCGTGTAGAAACAAAAAATCACATTTTTGATCAAATGCACCTGTTTTTGGCGATTATTCGTCCCGATTACAATTTTAAAACAACCAACTAAATCAAATTCACACTAACAAATAAAAGTTACAATAACTATTTCATTTCATTATATAAGTCATTCGAATACAGAAATATTAATCTCACAAAAACCATATCAGTCAATATACATACAAAACAACTAGTTCCCCCAATCATCACGGAGTCGAGTTCGATCCACATGAGGATGCGAATACGGGCAATGGTCCGCGAAATGTTCGAGATCACCACATCTACTGCATTGATCTCGGCCCCTTCTGCGGCGCGCCCGATGATCCATTTGCATTTTAAAGCGTCTCGTTTGGGCGCGACCGGGTCCAGGCTTCGAGATGATCCTTTGCCAATGCGGAATCAAATTCCATCCCACCTGCGGCCACGTGTCAGGATTTCTAATTGGAGAAAAATTCCAATTAGAAAATTGATCAACCCAGTTCGTCGTCCAAAACTGGGAATCGTACAACAACTTCGGTTCATCAGCTCGGTACACACGGCTAATGCATGAGTGCATGGTTTCCGATATGTCTGCCACTTCCGACATGTACACTTCTTCTGCTCATAATGAACATTAAACCTGTTTTCCACAATTATTTATATATATAAATAAACACACAAAAAAAAATTTATTTCAATGGAAAAAAAATAATAAAAAATACATACTTGTTTTGCCCCCTTCCACTGGCGCGTAGACCAGTTATGACCATGTACTGGGATCCGTCGGCGTCCACACATTCCACCTCATGAGTCGCCGCTGTCCTCTCCAACTCCAGATAGGCGGCATAGAGGTGGGTAGGAATTTAACTCCGACAGCTTCTGGACTTTTTTTTGTTCCTGTTGGAACAAATCCAGAGTCTTGTCCATTGTCGTCTGTACTAATGCTCTACAGGGCAGGAACCTAACACCTTTGAGGACGTTGTTGTAACTCTCTGACATATTGGTTGTCAGAGTGCCCTGTCGACGTCTGTTATCTCTGTACAGGGTCCACTTTTCCAAAGGAATTTGGAAAAGGTAACTGCATGCTTCCGGGTGACATTCCTGCAGTTGCTGTCGAGCATGCTCAAATTTGCGACGAGAACACAATGAACCCAACCTCCAGCACAGAACCCGGACTTTCTTACTCCGATACCTTGAAACCATGTTGCTCCGGAGGTGTCGAAGGCATATCCGATGAAATGCATGGGGTTCGTGCCAAGCCTCCAGTATATCAACGACACTCAATATGCCGTTGTCCCTGTCGGAAAGAAGACATATCTGCCTGTCGGAGAGGACATGATTGCGCAGATGTGTTAGGAAAAAGGACCACCTAGCCGTGCTTTCTTCGTCCACAATCGCATACGCGACTGGCAATAGACGCTTATTCGCGGTCTGTGCTATGGCAACAAGCAGCTTCCCATTGTACGAACCTGCTCAATTGGACATATGTTTTTTTTTATCAGACACTATTGTATGTTAGAAAATAGAAAATACATTTGCAATTAACAAGTACGTTCCCCTTGTACGAACCTCGCAGGTGCGTGCCGTCGATGCTAATAATCGGCGGGCAAAGATGGAAGGTTCGAATGGCGGGCCCGAACGCCCAGAAGACAAATTTGAATTCTCTGTCTCGAGAACGACGAGCCATTTCCCCATCCTGCCATTCCCACTCAACGACTGTGCCCGGATTCGCCCTTTGAAGGGCAGCAAAAAAGCTGAAAAATATAAAAAGTACCCATAAATAAATAAATAAATAAATAAATAAATAAATATAGTTACAAACACGTAAATACATTGGTAATTAATTTTTGCTTACTAGGGGAGTTGTGCGAAGTTCGATTCCCACGTGCCATACAGTCGATCAATGGTTTTTTTTCTCCCGTGCCACGCCTTCTTGTAGCTCACATCGACGCTCCAGGCACTTTTTACGTCGGCCTGGACCATTTCCACACTGTAGGTCACCTGCTTCTGAATCTTAG